TGCCCTCTGGACAGTTAGGAATGGACAATAGTTGCTGGTCCAGCCAGTGATGCCCACAGCCCAGGAATGAATAAAAATACCAAAATTTTTGTGCCTTGGAGATGAACTGGAAGTCATGTTCCTTCCACAATGTTGCTAATCTTATTCCTGACGATGGCGGTCATGAGGGAGGGACACGCTGTTAAAGTGAGCTTCATCAGTTGCTACAGTTTATTCAGTAGATCAGCTTTGTCCAACAGGTGGCCTTTCAAGGGTTCATATCTGGTTTGCGCCTGGTATTCAACTTGCAGATATGTATACATAGCAGATTCTGCAAAAAGATGATGTTCTCATCAAAGGCCATTTCTCTCATGGCAGCAGCAAACTTAGAAGAAAAATTATCTTCGTTTGGAAGAACAATGAGCTCTGTATTCATCATGAGGTCTTGTAGCGGAAACAAGTCTGTGGTGGGGTAAGGGGGAAGTCGACAAGGACAGGATGGCTGATGCACATGTGCAGGGACGAGGCAGTAAGTGGGTCAGGAGAAGATGAGTCTTTCCTTCATTCTCCCAAAGAACTTGAGTCAATATGGCAGGGTGGTCTTGAGCTGAGGAGCAAATGTGAGGCAACACAAAATTGTTACAGTATAAAAGGAGCCATTAGGCCCGCCTTGCCTGCACCAGCTCTCTCTGCATTTTCACTTAGTGTGAATCTCTTGCTTTTTCTCCCATAACCCTGTCCGTTATTTCTCTTCAATTAATTATCCAGTGCCCTCTTGAATGCCTCAATTGAACTGGTTTCCATCACACTTCCAGGTAATGCATTCCAGACTTTAAATATTCACTTTGTGAAAGAAGTATTTTTCTCACCCTTCATTTGCTGCTTTGGCAAAACTCTTGAAAACTATGCCCTCTGGTTCTTAATCCTTTAATGTGCAACATTTCTTCTCCGCTGTATGGCTGCTTCTGGTTCTAGAAGTCACTGCCACCCATGGATTTTGGAGATTTGCACAGAAGAAGAATGAAATAGTGGGAAATTAGCGATTTTGAAAGCCTACCAGATCTCCTCCTAGCTTTTTCTGTCCGAGGAAAACAGCCCCATCTCTCCAATCTTTCCTCACGACTGAAGTTTCTCATCCTTGGGATCATTCTCATAAACCTCTTTTGCATTCACATCTTTCCAAAGGTGTGGCACCGAGATCTGGATTTATTAATGTAGCTGATGTCACTGCCGTATATAGTGTCATCATAATCATCCTGCTTATGTACTGTATGCCCCTATTAATGATGCCCTTCTGTATGCTTTGTTAACAGCTGTGTCTACCTGTCCTGCCACCTTTAATGATTTATGTGCATATACACACAGGTCTCCCTGCTCTTAGACACTGTTTAGAATAATCCTTTATTTTATTCTGTCTTTTTTTTTGTGCCAAAGTGTGTCATCTCACACTTGTTCAAGTTGAACTTCATCTGCCACTTATCAAGCCATTCCTGCAACTTGTAATTTATTTTGTAAGTTCTACACAGTCCTCTTCACAGTTTGCAGCCTTACCACATTTTGTGTTAACTTTGAAATTGTCCCCCGTGTCCTTAGAAGTGATAGTGTGAGAGAGAGAGTGTGTGTCCGTGTGTGTTGAAACGGAAGAGAGATCGTGCTTGAGGGAACAAGGGAGTTTGCGTAAGGGTGGGAAAGAGCATGGGAGGGCATGAGAGAGAGCAGGGAATCATTTGTGAAAACATTTGCAAATCCTTAAAGATGGTACGGCAAGTTGATCTGGCAATAGAACATCAAATGAATTATTTACATTTATCCATGAAAAAGAAGGTAAAAGTAAAGAGATCGCAGTAAAATTTAATTAATCACAATTTTACCCTCAGCTGTATTATTGTGGACATTTCCTGACATTACACCAGGAAGTATCTAAAAACCTTAGAAAGGGTACAGTAAAGGTGCTACCTGGTTTGACAGGCTTCAGTTATGAGGATAGGGTAGAAAAGTTAAAATGGATGTCCTTAGGACAGAGAAGGTGACCTATTTGATGTTGAGATTGTTGATTTGTTCGCTGAGCTGGTAGGTTGATTTGCAGACGTTTCTTCACCATATTAGGTAACATCATCAGTGCGCCTCCGATGAAGCGTTGTTGGCCTGCCTTGCTTGTTATTTGTATAGGTCCGGCCTGATGTGGTTGGCCTTATCTCTGGTTCTGCTTCGTAGTGGTTGGTATGTGGGATCTATTTCCACATGTCTATTGATAGAGTTCCGAGTTGAGTACCAAGCCTCTAGGAAATCCCATGCATGTCTTTGGTTGGCTTGTCTTAGGATGGTTACCTAATCAAATTGGTGGTCTTCTTTGTCCAAGTGTATGGAAGTGAGTGATAGTTGGTCATGTCTCTTGGTAGCTAGTTGGTGCTGATGTACCCTGATAGCTAGTTTTCTCCCAGTCTGTCTGATGTAGTGTTTGTGGCAGTCCTTACGTGGGATTTTATATTTAACATTGGCCCTGTTAGTTGTGGGTATGGGATCCTTTGTTCTTGTCAGTAGTTGTCGTAGTGTAGCTGTGGGTTTGTGTGCTACCGCAAAACTTAGTGGTTGGTGTAATCTGGTGGTCATCTCTGATACGTTCTCAATGTATGGCAGGGTGACTAGTGTATCCAGGTGTGCTGTGTCTTCCTGTTGTTGACAAAATCCCATGTAAGGACTGCCACAGACACTACATCAGACAGGGTATCAGGGTACATGAGCACCAACTAGCTACCAAGAGACACGACCAACTATCACTCATTTCCATACCCCTCATCCACACCTGAGTTACAAGTCTTGTCAAAATCTGTTTAATATTTCCAAGATAATGGGTTTTGATTGGGAATCAATCTAGTGAGTAGGTCAGTAGCAGCAAGCTTAGATGTAAAAGTCACTGGCAATAAATCTAGAGAGATAGGAGAAGGAATATTTTCACTCAGAGTTGTCAGGATCCAGAATGCATTACTTGAAAAGGTGACAAAAGCTGGTTCCATAGATAACTTTTAAAAACTTTAGATAGTGATCAAGGGTGTTAAATTTACAGGATTATGGAAAGAATACAAATGCACAGGACTAAACGTAATTGTTCTTTCAAAGACCCAGCACATAATGGGCCAAATGGCCTCTTTCTGTGCTTTAAGTCTCCACTGTTCCATGAAATCTTGGGTGCTGGGTTTTCTGGCATTGTGCAGTAATTTCTTCCTTGAGGACTTGCAACTACCACTATTACAACTGGCCCTGTAACTGTACATGTGGCTAAATTATTGTGCAGGTGACCAGAAAATACCTGAATGGCAAACCGCATTTAGCGGCTACTGGAGTTCAGCCTACAGAGCTCAGCATTTTATGTCTTTAAAATTTTATATGCATTTCAAAAGCCAAAAAAAACTAAGAATTGAGTTCATTTTACAGCCATCCGGTCTGCAATGGTATTTTCACATCTATATGCTTTTCTTTCACTGGCATTCAGTGTTTTTTTGATTAGTTTCCAAATATGCCTTTTAACAACATTCTTTACCAAGGAATCTTTTTCTTAGTGTAATTTAAAAACCGAAAGAACTGCAGATGCAGTAAATCAGAGACAAAAACAGAAATTGCTGGAAAAGCTCATCAGGTCTGGCAGCATCTGTGGAAAGAAATCAGAGTTAACATTTTGAATCGAGTGACCCTTCTTCACAACTGTTCTGAGGAAAGATCACTTGACCTAAAATGTTAACTCTGATTTCTCTCCACAAATGCTGCCAGATCTGCTGAGCTTTTCCAGCAATTTCCACTTTTGTCTCTTAGTGTAAATTGTTGTCTTAGTAGAGGAATCATTTTCTTAATGTAATTTGTTGATTTAGAAGGTGATTTCAGTGAAAGGATAAAGGCTTTTAGTCAATTGTGGAGGTAAAAGTTCTCTCATGACTGATAACTTTGGGTTACAGGTTGATATGGGTTTTGATCTTATTAAACAATTGTGAATTACTAAACACTGCTTTTTCAAGCATATACGTGCAAATGAATTACTTGCTGATTTTATAAACTTTCTATTCATTTTGCCTCTTGAAATACTAAACTGGTGAGCAGGTGCCTACAAACATGTGGAATTATATTTATATGGACTGCAAACAGTGCCATTCTAAAGTCAATCCAATTTTAAGTGCCTGTTGGTGTTTTATGCATTTACCTTTGCATCGGTTACTTTGTGCCAGCTGAAATGGCTCTTCATACCCAGGTAGGCAGGTGCAATCACTGCACTGTCAAAAAAGTATTTTAATATCTTATCATGACACATTTACTCCATGCTAGAACAGAATCTATGAAAAGTTTAAGAAAGTTGATTTGGAGTATTCATATATATTTATGTTAGGAAAGATGCATTACAGTAAGTGACCTGTTGACTTACTGACTGCATAGATCCAGTAACAGTCTTCATGTTCTCCTAGGTTAAATTCTCCCTATAAATCCTGACCAGGGATTGCTGGTTTTATTGTGTGTACATGCTTTGGGTATAATGGAAATTCAGATAATCCATGATTTATCTGTTTAGCAGGATGACTGTGTTGATTATTTACCTAATTAGTCTTAAAGCTGAGGCAAACCAAGTTCTTTCAAAGCTTAAACATTGCATGGCTTTAGAATATTCATTTTGATTTTACCAGTAGCAGGAAAAATGATTGTAATCACTTAGGCTCAGGAAATCTTTGCAAATGTGAACCCAACTTTTCCTATGAAAGTTACAACTTCAAATTGTTGTGGTTTTCGGGAGTCCTGGTTTCAAATTTTTATTCTCTCAAAGGCCAGATTATATGTGTATTTTTCTTCAAAGAACATCTGATTTGCTGCAAAAGAATTTTTGGACAAATAATGACACTATAGAGCCAAGATTTTAGTTGGTGCCAGCAATATGTCTTAACCTCAATCTCTGTATAACGCCTCTGTCTCAGTTGTTTTGTCGCAGAAAAAAGCCTAATAGAATGACCATTTCTGACTGAATAATGAACTGACCTTATTTTCAGGTGACTGTGGAGACCATGTTGTAGTGATGAATACAAGGCACGTTGCGTTCTCTGGAAATAAATGGGAACAGAAAGTGTATTCCTCTCATAGTGGGTAAGTAGAAATTTAGTAAAATCAAATAAAGGTTACAGTTTACGGTACAGGAGGAGGCTATTTATCCAGCCATGTTTGTGCTGACTGTTTGTAAAAGTGACTTACCTAGCCCCAGTATCCTTCTCTTTTCCCCTGGCCTTCAAGTCTTTTCTGTTTATACAATTACCTAACTCCCCTGTGAAGACAAAGATTGAAGCTGCCTCCACCACACATCTCTCTCTATAACTACCAAACAGATTTCCTCAGTATTCGCTTCCTCCAGCATCCGAGGCATTTTGACACCTAATGTTGGTACTCCCTGACTACCTCCTCTTACTTCATTTCCGTCCTACTTTATTGAGCCTTGGCAGTATCATTTTATGACGAAGGTCTAAATTAATATTACAGAAAGCTAAAATTGTGAGTTACTTAAGGTTTGAATGCGAGAATGGAATAGATTGGAAATTTAAAGTGCAATTTTAATTACAGTTATCCTGGTGGGTTTAAGCAAGTGACAGCTGCCCAATTACACCAGAAGGACCCCACGGCAGTAAGTAGATTGATGTCTTTGCAATACATTTTATCCTTGAGTCAAACTTTATATCAATGTACTTTCTTCAAGTGATATTTTAAATAAAGAGGCAGTATCACAATGTTGTTACTTTTATAAAGCTGTTATATAACCACACAGAGAATACAGTGCTATATCAAGTGTAACATGGGAAAAAAGGTGGTGTTTTGAGAGCTGCAAAACCTTGTACCCTAAAGAGACAGTGGGTAGGAACTTTGTCAATTTGTTTGCAGATGGAAGACACTATGTAATTGGATTCTGAGCCATGTAGGCCAGGAGAATTCCAGATTCAGTCTTTGGCTTCTGCTGAGTCAATTAACTGGTGGTGTTAAGTTGTGTATCCCTGGGTTAAGAGTAGTAAAACGGCCAACATTTCTGATTGCAGTTCAGTAACTTCCCTGTTGGCCGTGAATGCGTGGATAACAGCTAAATAAAGGGTTGTTCTCGAAGAGGTACCCATCAAGAACAAATTGCCTGCCAAAACTCACTGTAGATTCACATTATAAGAATGCTACGTTAGTGTGTTTACTAAACAAATGATTTTGCTTGTTGCAATAAGGGACACACAATTGAAATCTGCATACCTTAGTTGGACCATATCCTTTAAAATCTTTGCAGAACCAAAATATAGCAATTTCAGTTTTATGAGTAAGAACTGATGTTGCATCAGTAGCAATTTACAGAAGTGATTCAAGCTTCTGCCACCCTCTTGTGTTTCTTTGCTTCACTCCCAAAAAGCCTGGCTCTAATTTTCTCCTGTAGTCCTGGCTTGCCCAGCTGATGAATACAGTTTATGTTCAGGTATTTTCTAGAAGTGTTTCTACCCTACCTGTTTCCCTTAAGTTTTGAAAACTTTGATCAAATCATCCAACAACTGTCTGAAATCCAGGGAACACATATGTATGGTGGGAAGGTGATGGCCTAGTGGTATTATAGCTAGACTATTGGTCCAAAAACTCAGCTATTGTTCTGGAGACCTGAGTTCAAACCCCACCATGGCAAATGGTGGAATTTGAATTCAATTTTTTATTTAAAAAATCTGGAATTAAGAATCTACTGATGGTTAAGAAATCATTGTCGATTGTTGGAAAAACCCTACTGGCTCACTAATTTTTTTCAGGGAAGGAAATCATTGCCATCAAGCCAGGGGATCAATCCTGGTTCAATGGAGAGTGCAGGAGAAAATGTTAAGAACAGCACTAGGCATGCCTAAAAGTGAAGTGTCAACCTGGTGAAGCTACCAAACAGGATTACTTGCATGCCAAACAGCTTAAGCTGCAAGTGATAGATAGAGCTAAGCGATTTCGCAACCAATGGATCAGATCGAAGCTCTGCAGCCCTGCCACATTCAGTTGTGAATGGTGGTGGACAATTAAATAACTCACTGGAAGAGGAGAGTCCACAAAAATCCCTGTCCTAAACAATGGAAGAGCCCAATACATCAGTGCAAAAGATAAGACTGAAGCATTCGCAGCAATCTTCACCCAGTAGTGCCAACTGGATAATCCATCTTGGCCTCTGCCACTGGTCCCCAGCATTATAGATACCGGTCTTCAGTCAATTTGATTCATTCCAAGTGATATCAAGAAATGGTTGTGGACATTGGATACTACAAAGGCGGCAAAGACATCATTCCGGCAATAGTACTGAAGACTTGTGCCCCAGAACTTGCTGCTCCCCTAGCCAAGCTGTTCCAGTACAGTTACAACACTGGCATATACCTGACAATGTGGAAAATTGCCCAGGTATGTCCTGTACAAAAAAACCAAGGCAAATCCAACCTGGTCAGTTACCACCCCATTAATTTACTCTTGACTGTCAGTAAAGAGATGGAAGGTGACCACAACAATGCTGTCAAGCAGCACCTGCTCAGCAATAACCAGCTCCGTGATGCCCAATTTGAGTTCTGCCAATACCTTGTTTCGGGCTTGGTTCAAACATGGACAAAACAGCTAAATTCCAGAGGTGAGGTAAGGTGAGAGTGACAGCCCCTAACATGAAGGCCGCATTTGGCTAAGTGTGGCATCAAGGAACCCTAGCAAAACTGAAATCAGTGATATCGGGGGCAAATTGTCTGTTGGTTGGAGTTATACCTCGCCCATAGGCTGATGATTGTGATTGTTGGAGGTCAGTCATCTCAGCTCCAGGACATCTCTGCAGGAGCTCCTCAGGGTAGTGTCCTAGGCCCAACCATTTTCAGCTGCTTTATCAATGACCTTCCTTCCATCATAACGTCAGAGTGGGAATGTTCGCCAATGATCGCGCAATGTTCAGCACCATCGGTGACTCCTCAGATACTGAAGCAGTCAGTGTTCAAATGCAACAAGATCTGAACAGTGTCCAAGCTTGGGCTGACAAGTGGCAAGTAATATTCATGCTACACAGGTGTGTGATGGAATACTCCCCACTTGGCTGAGTGGGTGCAGCTCCAACAAGACTCAAAAAGCTCAACACCTTGCAGGACAAAACAGCCTGTTTAATTGTAGCCACTCTCTTTACCACCAACACTCAGTAGCTGCAGTGTGTTCTATCTACAAGATGCACTGCAGAAATTCACCAAAGATCCTTAGACAACACCTTCCAAATCCACGACACTTTGATCTGGAAGAACAAGGGAGCAGTTATGTGGGAACACAACCACCTGCAAGTTTCCCTCCAAGCCACTCACCACCCTAACTTGGAAATATATCATTGTTCCTTCACTGTTGCTGGGTCAAAATCCTGGAATTTGCTGTCTAATGGCATTGTGGATCAACCCACAGCAGGTGGACTGCAGCAGTTCAAGAAGGCAGCACATCACCACCTTCTCAAGGGCAACTTGGGATGGTCGATAAACGCTGGCCAACCAGCAATGCCCATGTCCCACAAGTGAATTAAAAAAAAAAACTCCATAAAAACAGAAATTGCTGGAGATACTCAGCAGGTCTGGCAGCATCTGTGGAGAGAAAACAGAACTAATGTTTCAGATGCTGTCACTCTTCTTCAGAACTAGAAGCATCAAAGAAAAGGGAAGAGTTCTGAAGAAAGGTCACTGGAATAGAAACGTTATCTCTGTTTCCTCTCTCCGCAGTTACTTCCACACCTGCAGAGTTTCTCCAACAATTCTGTTTTATTGTAGAAGCAATATGTTAAACTATTGAAAGGACAAAGCACGAGGGATAGAGTGGATAGAAAAGCAGTTTGTCATACTGTTTTTGGTATAGAAAAGCCCTTCAGTATAAACATAGCAGTGAGACAGCCATGTAACTTATTTATTTAATATGCATGAATTTACACCCTGTTACTTGCAAACTATCCAAGCATGATAGCCTAGATCTCTTCAATTATATGTTAAAGCCATTTACTTGCACTTGCCATCTGAAACTGGGCAGTTGGGTGCGCTGTTTCCATATATCCATCACTGGAATGTGAAAATGTTCTTTACGGGTCATGTATTTTGTGAGCACTCTGTTCTTCACTTTGACATAAGACCATCGTAAAAATTATAAGCAGTGATCTAGCCACAACAGAAAACCATTTGGCAGCCAACGCTGCATGACTCACATTGTCCTGGATATGTTTAAAAAACACTGAAGCAAGAATCACTGAAGCAGTCTCTGTCCACATGTAACAAGATCAGAAAAACATTTAAGCTTGCTCTGATGAGTGGCAGATACCTTCTGTGTCACACTAGTGCCAGATAATGACTCCCTCCAAATAGAGAAACTCTAAATATCTGTCCTTGACATTCAGCTGTATTCCTGTCACTCGATTTTCACCATCAAATATCCTTGGAAATACTGTTGACTAGAACTTCAACTGGACCGTGCAATAAGCATTATGGTTATGAGGGCAAGTCAGGGGACGGGAATACTGCAGTGAGTAATTCATTTCCTCTCCAGCATCCATCCCCCATTTACAAAGTACAAGTTAGGAGTATGATGAAATGCTGTTAACTTGTCTGAATGACCGCAAGTCCAAAAACACTAAAGAAGGTCACTACCATCTGGAGCAAAGCAACCAATTTGACTTGACAACCCTCCAGTTTGTTAAGTGTTGACTTCTTCAACCACTGACACACAGTGACAGCTGTATATACTTGCCCCAAGATGCACTCCAGAAACTTGCTAAGCCAATGATCCTCGCTCCTGTAATGTCCCATAAATTAAGCAAGAAGCAGTTGTCAATGCCAGAGCTTTATCTTTTCATTATTGGATAGATGCTGAACAGTTGCACTGTTTAGTATTTCTGTAGATTGCCACATTCTTGCACTAATGTGCAATAGCATCAAACATTAGTATATATTGTTTCTTACTCCATAATCCTCAATATAATTAAGTTCCTTCATTTCAGTAGGACTGTTGAGAAAAGCTCCTTTCTGCCGATGGAAAGGGCAACTGACTCCTCTTGTGTTGTCTGCTTACATAAATTATAGCCAAAGTGACAGGAGACAAAATTAAATTGAATTATAATAAGATATTTCAGTTTGTGTACATTATGTGCACAGTTAAAAGCGACATACATCATTAATGTTTATAGAGTTTCAATACAAAAGTTCAAGATTTTAATAGATTAGTCAGTGTGTGATAGTTTTTTTTTTACTTTGTGAATAAAGCCCTCATGATCAGGATTGCACTTGTCACAGAAGAAGAGATGTTTCCAAAGCTATTGTGGATCAACTAACCGCTAGAAGAATTAATATATTAATCCTAGTTCAAAGTGTTCATCATAAAATCCCCTGATATAAAGGCAAAGCAATCACAGATTTTTTTTGGGTTCGTGCATTTAATACTGTGTATTTTTAAAATTAACTTATGGAAATAAATGCATTTCTGTTTGATTATCAGGGTTATGACAGACAAATCTAAGGTTAATTTCGTGCCTCACAATAAATGTCACACTTTTGAGAGCATGGTGGCATGTAGGAGGGTTTAGCTGTCTGCTGGTTCATGTTAATCACAGCATAGCACAAATTAGAAAAGAATCTTTAACTATTCCTTTGTTTTTATTTTGCCTTTACTTTTAAAGATTAAATGTGATATTTGTAAGTAATTTTTAGAATGTAAGCCCTTGACACCCTTGGGGCCTTTTAATAGCCATGAACACCATCTTTCAGTGGTAGTAAAACTAGGGTGTAATTCCTCACAGAAAATAAGAACATCAAAGTTAAAACATTATCTAAATTGTAACCTGATGTAAGAATACTTTAGAAAAGAAATTTTTAATATCCATCAGTAAGTTCCCACGAACATTCTTCAGCCAAAACCTGTGGATATTTGTTCTATGTCTTGTAACCTTTTATTTGTGTATATTTTCCTCTGTGATTAGATTTATTCCAAGTTGACTGTTTTCATGAGATATTGAGTGATTTGTTGGTAGAAGTCTGGGCCACGGGCACTGATTTTATCCTCTTGTCTTATAACAAGTTGGCTCTGAATAGGTCAACATTGTAGTTAGTCAGCAGGAAGATATGAGTTCTTCCCTTTTCATTTAACATAACAGATATAAAAATCATGCAAGATTAAAATAATTAAAAAAGATGGAGATTTTTGTAATTTTTGATTTTCAATTATTTTATGTTTAAATTCTATTGATTTATTTTCTTTAAATCCCTTGCAGTCTTTAGTATTATTGACAAAAGAAAAAATATTTCAGAGTGCCGGAAGCACTCAGTCAGTCTGCATTTGTGAAGCATCTGATGAGTTAGCCTTTCACATCTGGCAGAAGGTCCACACCTCAGCCATTAGGTGGGCTGCTAAGTGGTTCAATCATTGCCGGCATCCGTTTGTTCGCCTCTTCATTCATTCTCCAATGGTATCCTGTCTCAATGAGTCAAAGAATTTGAACAATAACCGAGGAAATATGTGCACTGTCAATCTTCGTCTAGTTACTCATTCTGGCATTTTTGATTTGTGTTCTTCAGTCTCTTGAAGCATTTCCATCTAGTCTTCCATTCTGTTCTGACTCTCCAATTGTACAACAAACTAAACTCTTGCTAATTCTATTATTTCAGCTGAAAGTACTTTTGGTAATATGTCAACACTTCACTCGTTCAAACGGAAGTGTTGTTTTACATTGAACCATTAAATTCTTTATGAACTCTGTATCACTTTTAATCATTATGAATTTTAAAGGGAAAATGAGGGAAGCACAAACTGATGTAGTGCCACGTACGATTACTTTTGTGAAGTCAATTCAGTGCAATTTTTAAAAATTGTAATTGGAGTGTTTTTTTGGGATAAGTAATCCTTTATTGTATACATGAGCTTTGAAATCCAGAGGTCTTTTTCTCCAATCATAAACATCCCAAATAAGCTTTGTTTTTTATAATTTAAGAAAAATAAAAATGCTATGAAGCCTTTAAAATTTTAGACAGAAAGTGTGCAACTTTTGCTGAATTATCAATCAAGTATCAAAGCATAAACAGACTATGAAAATTTTTCTGAAGAAGGGTCTCGACCCGAAACGTCAGCCTTCCTGCTCCTCTGATGCTGCTTGGCCTGCTGTGTTCATCCAGCTCTACACCTTGTTATCTCAGATTCTCCAGCATTGGCAGTTCCTACTATCTCAATGAAAATTCTATACCATCACATGCTGATATAAGCAAAATAGGGAGAGCAACAAAACGAGTTTACCGAAGGATGTAACTACGGCCTTTTTGTTTACTTTTCAGGAGCTTGTATCCTTGCTCCCATCTACCTTAAGTCATAAAATGATTACCTTTTAATCTAAAATCTGTTGTTAACATAATCTGACAGAACAATACACGACACAGCAGAGCATGTGAATGTGTGAAATGAGGGTAAGCTAGCCTTGTTTAATGTGTTCATATGCCAACATAATTAAATCCAAATACGGTAAACTTTGTAAAACCATTGTGTTCACCTGAGCAAATTTATTTTCAAGACTTCTTTTTGATCTTGAGATGTTACAGTTGTTAGGTTTTGATTAACTCTCCCATGAACAGTTGTAATTAGTAAACTGGTTGGAATTTCAGTGGTGTATTTTCATTACAGATTGTAAAACTGGCTATCTACGGAATGCTGCCCAAGAATCTGCAACGAAGAACCATGATGCAAAGGTTGCACCTCTTCCCAGATGAGGTATGTATTACAGGCATTAATTTTATTTTCGCTATTACACAATCACATTCATCTGATACTCTTTCTTATGATACAATGATATATGCCAACATTGGAAGTAATTATGTGCTCCCAGTTGGGGTGAACTGTCAATTTTGCTGAGCTGGCTGTTCCGAACCAAGTGACCAGTCTCAAATTTTATAAACCTTTTCATTTATATAAAAAAATACCCAGCTGCTTTTGTGGATTTGTAGCTCCTGTTTAGTCCATTTATTTTGCAACCCTGCCTTTGAAGATCCTGATGACATAAACTGAACGCAGTAACACATCCTTAAGAGCAGGGCATTGCTGATAGTAATTGTAACTGCTGGATTGTACACCTTTTCCTCTGATATCAGGATTGTAGGGTTGCAGGGGTGTCAATGCCACAATTACAAAAATGCTCAGTTGCTTGCGAGAAGCACTTTAATATCATGTCGGTCATTTGAAGAGCTGCAGTTTTTTTGTTACAATATACACACTGCAGTTCTGATGCTGCTGCCATTCTCCAAGCCTGTACTACAGGCTATAACCTGATTGATTTCTTATCGCAGTCAACAGCAGCTTGGTTGAAATGGTTCCACCACACATACGGAGGGTACAAGCATTCTGCCTTGGTATCATTGGGGACAGGCAACAGAGCGCAAAGTTAACATTCCACGCTGTTCCATTGTAAGTTGGTTTGAGCCAAACAAAGGCCTTCCTGGCAGCAAATTCCAGCAACATCAGGGTTTATTAATTTGTTGACCCAGTCACTGTAAAACACATGGAGTCTAGCACTTGCATTTGTTTGAAGCAAGGAATAAGAAAGTCAAAAAGATATTAAGAAACAATTAGTCTTCATTTCCTCTATTACATTCCAATATATAGTACATATTTTACATAATGCTCCTTATGAAAATAATTGAAAACATGCATAACTGTCTTTCACTGGGAAGGAACTTCAGAGTTGAAAGGTCCCACATTTAAAAAAATATACGTTTTTATTCCAGTCAGCAGTTGAAGGATTTAAATTTCCACGAATATTGTCTGATGGGATATACTCAACTGCCTGTTAAAATTTTATGCGTTGGATATATTATTAATTAGGCTGATGTATTGTAAAGGGTACATAATTTTATGACCTGTTGCTTTGAATTTGCAAGCACAGTTTTATTTTCAGATGGAACTCTATAGTTGAGGCTGTGCAAACTTGTGAATGTTGTTAAAGTCCTCATAGGGACCAATAACTTTATAAAAAGAGATAGAAACTTGCCATAGGCCAATATATGAATTGTACATCAAGACTTCACGTTTTAAGATATTTACTGTGACAAACAAACTGAAATCAATGTTGGCTAAACATTTGTAATTAATGCACGAAACTAAAGAAAAGGTGTCTTCCATTAACTTACAACTGACAACCCCAGGTGCACACATTTCTGAAGAAGGGTCCTGACCCGAAACATCAGCTTTCCTGCTCCTCTGATGCTGCCTGGCCTGCTGTGTTCCTCCAGCTTCACACTGTGTTATCTCAGACTCCAGCATCGGCACTTCTTACTATCTCTGTGGAAGTAGAGTTGTCTCTTTTCCTTGCCCCACGATGGTGAATCTTCCAGTGTCCTTTTAAATAAAGTCCCTTCTGATTTTGGGGAAGGGCTGTGTGGCTTGGGGAAAATGAGCATAGATTTCGCTAACGAAGTAAAACAAGAAATTAAGAAATTAAATGTGGGGTAAAAGCAGTCGTTGTGTTGACGAACTTCCGTTCTTTTTTAAAATACCTTTAAAAGTATTTAGTTGGGAACAGCATTGAAGGTTCAGGGGATAAATATCAAGGAATAATGTAATGCTATAGGACACAAAGAAGCTCATTTGGACGCTCTGGGTGAACTAGATTACCTGTTAATGGTAGCAGATGGGGACTGAATAATGCAACATTTCCCTATACAAGATATAGGGTAAATCTAGGCCATTTGATTCCTCGGGCCTACTCTGATATGCACTTGGCTGTTAGTTGGTTGCTATCAGTCGTGGCTGATCTGGTTGTGACTCAGGACCACTTTTCAACCCCCACCCCATCCCCAATGCCAAATTACTGTTGACAGTCAAGTAGATTAAAAATCTGTATTGAATGTATTCATTAACTGTCCCTTCACTGCTCAGGGGGAAAGAATTCTGTTGACCACTTTTGGAGAGTACTTGGGGACATTACTGCTTTGATTAAAAGAAAGAGGTTATGTCTGCGATTGACAGATTGTATGTGCTGCCTGAGGATGCCTGCACCCTGCCACTCCACTGCTGACACCAGAAGGGAGGAGATTGCTTAATTGCTAATTGCTGGAGGATACCGGATTCAGTGCCACTTGAGTGCCTGTGTGGCCATTTAATTCCATCAGACTTCCACCACTGGGTGAGACACACCCCCTCACCAATGTTAAATTTCATTCCTGTGGTGTATGGTAGATCTATGGACTTTCTTTATCCCATGAAATTGCTACACGGTGTTAGCTGTTAACCATTATTTGAATCTAGGTCTTTTTCTCTGTTTTCTACTGAAGATTTTGAGGGATCCTGACAGAATAATATGATAGGCAAATTGACGATAACCATGGTCCAAGTATATACAAAATATGCAAAACAATTCCCTTACTTGGCTGTAAATCTTATTGCTTGATTGCTGAACGGTCATGACAGCACTTGGAAAGCAGAGTAGTTTGTAAATGCCGTGCTGTTCAGGGATGATGACCTTTGAATCAATGTATGATACATAATTTATAAAACCTGCCCACTTTTAGAAACATATGAAGAGTCTTTCAATAAAAATGCATCATGTTAATGTTTTCCATATTCAATTTTTAAAGGAAACATTCCCTTCTTAAAAGCTGTGTTCATATATTTTTTTCTTCCAACCAAACTATATTTCATTCATATTAAGGTCTTTCAAGTCTGTTAGAAGAATAAAGGATGTTTACTACAAACTGATAAAATTCTAATGAGACTAGACCGTCTAAATGCTGGAAAGGTGTTTCTGATGCACGGAAGGTCATAGGCTAAGAATACTGGGTAGGCCATTCAGGAGAAAAATGAGAAATTTCTTCACTGAGAGAGTGACGAGCCTGTGGAATTCTCTGCCACATAAGTGGTTGAGGCCAAATCATTGAATATTTTGAAGAAGAAGCTAGAAGTAGCCCTTAGGACTAAAGGGATCAAAGGGTATAGGGAGAAAGAAGGAACAGGGTACTGAGTTGGATGATCAGCCATGATCATACTGAATGATAGAGCAGACTGGAAGCACTGAATGCTCTACTTCTCCTATTTTCTATGTTTTTATGTTGAGGAAAGAGAAAGGCAGTGTTCAGCTCAGCTGTGATCCTTCCAGTCATCAGGTAGCCTGTCAATGCTCACTGCCTAGTTAGTATGATAGATAACAGCTCCTCTGAAAATCTGCTTCCTCTTTCTGATTTCTGGCCTGGCAAGCGTATTTTTTTGTTTATCCATTTCGTGATTTTTATGATGTGCTCTCCTCACAATTACCTGAAATATCAAATTATGGATATCTTTCATTCATGAAACACCATCTTCAACAGATTTGTTTTGCAAGATAATCAATGCTTCTTGGGTTCTTGAGCAACCTTTATAAAATTATTTATTGGAGAGATTTAATATTTAGATTCACCTCTATAAATATTTTTATGTGAAAATTTGTAAGTGTTCCAGAAATTTGGCCATCTGGATATATGTTATGCAAAGCAGAAGATCCCATTTTAAATGAAATGCCAAGAAGCATAAGCCAAGACTCCATATGTTCATTTCATTTTCTTATGGACGTAGTTGACTTTGCCTTCCAAAGGCCTTTGTAAATCCTACTGCCCTCATTTACCTTTTTAAAGGAAGGTCATTTTTTCCGTACATATTATCTTCAATCATTGAATTTTCCCACAATTTAACATGCTTGTCTCTTGCACGAGAATTTGTCATTGATATCGAAGATGACATTTTCCAACTGTCACATGTCCAAACTAATTCAGTATAAACACATAATTGATTTAAGAAAAATCCACCGTGTGAACCACTTAAAATAAAAATCTGCCATTATACTGACAGTTTTCTTCCTGCCTGCTGTAACAGCTCAAGATTGTTAATACCATCTTTGTCATGGACTGATTAAAGGTTTTAATTTTTTTTTGCTTGTACTGATTATTTACTTGTGTTTTATTTTATCATGCTGGTTAGGAAAGAATGCACAGGTAGTTATGGACCTTCAATGGCACAAAAAAGGGGCAACTAACTAATTCCCAAGTTGCATAATTTGCATGCCACTGCAGAAAGCAAGAGACACGAGAGCTGAGAGGAAAATGTCATCTCTACAAGTCACCAACTGTACTCGCAGGCAGTACACACAATACTCACAGACTGCCCTCCACAAGCCCTAAGGCAGCAGAAAGCCAGCTGCAAAGACCAACCATCGGCTGTGATGTCAAGTCATCCTCAATTCCTAGAAAGCATTTAGCAGTATAGACATCTTGGATGGTGCCATGGATTGGTGTAGAAGTGACCATCTTTGTATTACCTCATATCACACCATCTTTACTTCAAGTAGAGCCAGTGTTGCCAATCGCAGTCATTGTCAGGAAACCTATTGCTACGTGTCCAAGTTCTGTTTCCGTTCATTTTTGTCTGCGGCTGCATTTTGAGTCGCTCAGAGCTTTCTGTATTCTTATCCCATACTCCCATGATCCTTTTTAATTGTGTTGTTGTCTTTGAGTTCCACTTTTGTATAAATTACAGCTCGCACTCAAGTTGCACCTGAATTTGTAAATTAATTATGCAATTTGCTGACCCAGGAAAATTGTAAGTTATTGGCATTTTATAATTATGATGAGATTATCATCAGTTCTTAATCATTCAATCCTGCTAGTACAAATAGATAGAAAAAAACTCCACAGAAATGACACCTAGACCATAAAGCATAAAACTGTACAGCACAGGAAAGGGCCCTTCGGCCCATGATGTGCTGATCATGACTCAAAATTAAACTAATCCCTTCTGTCTGCCTTTGGTCTACATCCCTCCATTCCTTGCATATTCATGCATTTATCTAAAAGTCTCTTAAACGCCCCTACTGTATCTACCTCCACCATCACCCCTGGAAGCGCATTCCAGACTCCTACCACTCTTTGTGTTTAAAAAAAAACTTGCCCTTTTCGTCTCTTTTGAACTTTTTCCCTCTCCCCTTAAATGCACGCTCCCTAGTTTTAGACATTTCAACTGTGAGAAAAAGATTCTAACTATCAACCCTATCTATGCATCGCATATTTTTATAGACTTCTATCAAATCTCCCCTCAGCCTCTGCTGCTCCAAAGAAAACAACCCAAGTTTTTCTAGCCTCTCCTTGTAGTTCATACTCTCTGATCCCGGCGGCATCCTGGTACACCTCTTCTGCACCCTATCCAAAGCGTCCACATCCTTTCTATGATGTGCCACCCAGAAATGAACTCAGTCCTCTAAGTGTGGCCTAACCAAAGTCTTATAAAGCTGCAACATGACATCCTGACTCTTATACTCAATTCCCCGACCAATAAAGGCAAGCATGCCATAGGCCTTCTTTATCACCTTATCTACTTGCGTGGCCACTTTCAGGGAGCTGTGGAATTGAACCCCAAGATCCGTCTGTACATCAATGTTGTTCAAGGTCCTGCCATTAACTGTATACTTTTCCTAAACATTTGGTCTCCCAAAGTGCAGCACCTCACTCACATGGATTAAACTCCATCTGTCATTTCTCTGCCCATAGCTGCAACTGATCTATATCCTGCTGTAACCTTTGACAACCTTCTACACTATTCACAACAACACTGATCTTTGAATCATCTGAAAACTTACTAACCCACTCATCTACATTTTCATCCAAGTCATTTATATAAATCACAAACAACAGAGGTCCCAGTACAGTACAGATCCCTATGGAATGCCACTAGTCACGGACCTCCAGCCTGAGAAACGACCTTCCACCGCTACCTTTTGCCTTCTGTGGGAAGCCAATTCTGAATCCACGCAGCCAAGTCACCATGGATCCCATGCATCTTAATCTTCTGGATCAGCCTACCACGAGAAACCTGATAAACGACTACCTGTGCTGGTAACTTATGTGACATTTAAAAAAAGTCACTATTCTTATTCCCTGGAAGGTGGTTCCAGGGTTTTGATCGTTTCAATTAGAAATATTTGGAAAATTATTTCTTAAGCCTTAAGAAATTATGTGTTAGTTTAATATCTCTGCAGAGTTCTGTTGTACAACCAACCTGAAAATAAGTACATCAAAAATCAAACATATATTCTACTACATTTGATAAATCTTGGCTGCAGTGGCAGCTTTCAGCCTCTTGCTTTTCTACTTCAAAAGGTGATTCCAGATGAAATCCTAAAGAACCTGGTGGAAGAACTTCCACAACCACGGCAAGTACCCAGAAAGTTGAATGAATTCACTCAAGAGGAGATTAATGCCTTCCCAAGACTATGGACACCGTAAGTAGAATATAGCTTTCAGTAGTTTGGCAAATTTGCCAAACCTACAAAACCACATAGCAATCTACTTTTCAACAATTTTCGTTCATTACTCTTATGTTGGGTTAGGTACAGACAGTAAAACTACACAGTAATGAGCTGTGTATTTTCCAAACACAAGCTTCAGCACTGCAGTAGACAGTGCTTTGTTTAAATGTCTACTGAATTGTAAATACTGATGATTTACTGCTACACACCTAATCAGCTTTCCAACTGGTGATGGAATAACCTTCGACAACTGCGATCCTGATTAACATTTTCATTCCTATTTTCCCTAATGTTTAGTGGTTTTTAATGTAATCCTGGAAATTGTGTGAATTTAGCTTTTGTGAGTGCAGCTAAGCCCTTTTCACACTGTGCAGAGCAGAGGAAACATCTGGAACTGAATGGAGCATGAATTATAAGTCCAGACAATGAAGATGTACAGAATATACTGTTCTATCTCTGGAGACCCATTTGTATGTGGTCCAGAACATTAAGTTAATATCTTTTACCAAAAGTATTTATTAGTGGCTGGAAAGACATTGTCCAAAGATTTATTTATTAAACAATTTTATCAGAAAAATACGGAAGAAAAATGAACTGTAACTTTTGGCAAACCTGCTGTGTCTCCTGCTGGTTGATTTTCTTTCATACTGTGCCACTCTCTCCCAGCGCTTCAGGCTCCTCTTCAATGCCCCATGCTGTTCCTCAGTGCCTCACACTGTCCCTCGGCACCTCATGTGCTCCCTTGACACTTCATGCTTCCCCTCAGCTCCTCTTATTCTCCTTCAGTGACCCATGCTTTCCTTTGGTGCTTCACAATCTCACTTGGCACAATCCCTTCTATTCATTAGATACCATCTCTCTGTCTGTGTGTGTCTCTCTCTCTCTTTCTTTCAATTTTTCTCTATCTCTCTGTGCATCATACATCTCACTGTTCACACTGTCCCCTCTCTCTGTCTGTGTGCCACCCATCCCCTTCTCTGCACTTCATCCCTCTGTCTCTCTCTACCACCATTCCCTTCTCCCTGTCTGTGCAGGATCATTCTACTCTCCACAAGCTGTTCCTTCCTCCCTGTCTGCCACCTTCCCTCTCTCTCTGTATGCTGCCCCTCTCTATCTCTTTGCCTAGGTGCTGATCCCTTTCTCACCCTTTATGTGCATTTCATCTCTCTCTCTCTCTCTCTTCTCTTTCTGCACACCACTTCCCCTTCCCTGTCTCTCACCACACATGACCCCACTTTCTCTGCACATTATCCCCCCCTCTCTTTTTTACTGCACTTCATCTCTCACATGCTGCATGGCTTCTTTCTCTTGCTCTGCATCCTTCTCTAGATCCCTGCAAACCTCTCAACTCCCCTCTTTCTCCTCACCCCTCTCTCTGTCCACTCCCCATATACACTCTTATCTATTAGCACCTCTGTGCCCTTTAGTCCATGAGTCTGAAGGCTAACCCAAGAATTTAATATGTTCCAATATGTGACCCTTGGCAAATTGCAGCTTCTGGAAGTTGTAGTTTGTTAGGATTAAGAGGTCACATCATTGTTCTGTCACCAATGTAAGAAGGTATCGTGGCAGCTGTACGTTTGGTAAAGGTTAAACAAGATAGACATAACCCAAACGATTATGGAAACATTGATGAAGGCCACTGAGGCTACAGTGGAAATTACTTTATATTATGCAAGTAGGGGAAGAGAGGGAGGAAACGTAATCTTATAAGACAGATCATTAGGCAGAGGCACACAAATTGAGGATCAGAAGTACACAGAGTGGACAATCTGGGTAGACAGATATAGACATGCATACAAAAAGTGGGAAACAGCAACAAAAGATGCCACAGCCAGAAGCTGTTTTGCCAGTAGGGATTATAATATGGTCAAACGGTCATAAGCATAGCTAAATCCTGAGGTTGGAAGTGAATGTAACATTCAGAGCAAAGGAGTGTTTGGAAAAAAACAAGTGATGCAATACTGGAATCAGTTATTGAGAGTAGACATCAGGATAATATATACAAGACATAACTATTGACAGCAACCAGCATGGCATGATGTAGGAAAGGTACAGTTTGGCAAATGTCTTCAATGCAATGATAAAAAAAATGGTGTTGAACTCCGAAATCTGATTTACTTCAATCTCCGAAAACCGTTTGCTAAAGTTCAACATGAAAGACTTGATTATATTTGTTGCTGTGAGAGTTTTGAGTAAAACCTCAGAATGACCAAAAAAATCAGCTGAAGACCGGTAGAAAAGTGTATGTGTTCTTAACAATTTAGAAGGGATCTTTAGAGAAATGAAATTGAGAGGCTATTGAAATAGTTAACCAGAGCATTACTTTATTGCTGACATTGTGCTGGCTCCACCATGCTCATCAGGTGAACCTTATATAATTCTTTATTTAATAAGTTGTATAATTCAAACATCTTTTCAGTGTAATCACAGTTAGTCTGCTTGGCTGTGTAGCTATTACAAGATCCAGAGGTGGATTCTTGTCAAAATTCTGAATTTATGAAAATGGCTAATTCTGTTGCCATTACAAGCTGTCTTACTGCTGAACTCCCAACATATTTAAAAGGAACCAGGTGTTCAGTAGCAGAGTACAAAGCTGACTGTTCAAGTTTCATACAATGAAATCTCAGTGAAAACTTTACGGCTGTATCTTGTTTAAAACCCACAATTTCCTAAGAACTTAAACATGTGTATTGTCCGCACACTGTAAAGGCATTAAGTAAACACAAGTTTTGTTAGATTAGAGGTTGTACTTTGTCATCCAGATGTTGATTAGAGTATTCATTATTTGTCAGCATAGATCCATTCCCACCCTCTTTGAGCTGTTCAGAAAACCTGTGTGTGTTTCAGCTGGACAAAAAACACTCTTTAGCTTCTATTTTCACAGTACTTCCAGCTTTGAAAGACACATTTTTGAAAGAATTACACCCCTTTTGATGTACTTTGTTCAAACAATGAACATCTGCTGTCGGTTATAATGACCTTTCCCCCTCTCCCCTACTGCTGTTGACATAGTCAAAAACTTTCTTTTCTAAGATTTTCTTTGTCAGGGTCCCCAGTCACCTTCAAGCCCGCTCCTGTCAGAAAGCTGCCGTCAACCTCTCCGCCACCAATCTCCAGTCTCACCAGTCTTTCTGAAGTCCTCAAGCACGTTATTATCACTCATTACAACTGCGTTCATCATTCCTTTTTCAAAACTGTTCAATCCAATTTCTATAATTCCCTACCTGGAACACTAAGCCCTGATCAAAATTGCTAAACGATATCCTTTGTGACTACTCATTCTGCTTAACATGTATCCTGGTGGCAATCCCATCTGTGCTGCTGGACATGCCCTTCACTTTTCCAACTGGATTCCTTTGTATTCGCATTGCTGTAACCACCTCAGTTACAGCTTTGGTTGTTAAACCTAAATTCTTCTCACTCACTTGTATCTGTGCGTCCCTTTGACTCAGTGGGTGAGACTGTCATCTCTGAATTGGATGGTTGCGGAGGTTTTTGACTGAAACATTAAACTGAAGCCCTGGGTTCTCTAACTGATTCATGTCAAGAGCCAGTTTTCAAATTTAAGATAATTGCTTCTAGTGTGAAGATATCCATTATTTTTGTCTCCCGTACCTTTTCATTCACTCACAACTTCAGCACATTAAGATGATGGAAAGCTTAGCTCTAAGGCTCTGAAAGGAGAAAATGACCAGCTTCCTGAGTGTCTAAACTTAACTGTAGTGCACGGAAACCTCCATATCTGGTTCAGCAAGATCAGCTTCAGCTACCTGCAGGTCAGAGGCATATCTGAGTATGAATTTACAGTACTTGGTTCAATGCCTCTCCATACCCCTATCCCTTCAAATGTCACCAACTGAAACATGCTGTTTAGGAGTTCAGTTGAGGTGGGGTGAACACGACAACCTTAATTCCAACATGGTGCTATCTTTCCTGGGCCCAACCATAGAGGTGGAACCCAGACTCAAATAATAATTAGATGGTTGGTACTGACCAATGCTAATGCATTGGGTAGTCGGCATGTGAGCAAGGTACAATCATGGCTCCAGTGACAGTCCATCAATTAAAACCAACATTAGTTAGCTTCAGTGAAGATATCAGTGTTGCCGTACATGTCAGTGGTCAGGATCTGTGTTATACAAGTGAACTCCAAGTGACAGGCAGTGACTAGTGGGGTACAGCAGGGATTAGTGCTTGGACCCCAGCTATTCACAATATATGCCAATTATTTAGATGAGGGAAGTAAATACAATATTTCCAAGTCTGTAGACAATAGAACAGAATATCCTTTATTATCACGTGTACTCAAGTATAGAAGTACAGGAGTACAGTGAAATGTTTACGATGTCGCCTGTCATGGTGCCACATTAAGTATAAAGTATCTAGGTACAAATCTTAGATACAAAAAGAAGAATAAAAAAGAAAATAAGTTGCATTACCTTACAGTGATTCATAGTGTAAGTTAGAAATAGGACATAGTTAAAAGGATAAACATTACAGTCAGATAAACAAGTTATAGATCAACATTGCATTGCAGCAGATCAGCACAGGGGCTTTCGCACGTGGTCTGACTGGCCTCGCAAGCTACTGACTGCATACACCAGACCCCAGTCCAACAACTGTCCCCGCTCCACTCCATGCCTCCAGCCCGCTCTACTCCGGCTCTCTGCCGTTCCAAGCCTCCAAACTGTTCCACTCTGGTTCTCAGCCAATCCACACCACTCCAGACCTCCAGCCCACTTCACTCCAGCTCTCGGCTGCACCAAGGTAAGTTTTCTTATCGGAAAAAAAAACACTTTAAAATCTCAGGAGAAAAGAAGGAGAGCTGGGTGGGAGGATGAGCTGTGTGGAGGATGCAGAGATGCTTCAGTGTGATTTCGCAGATGTAGTATAATGTGAATAAATGTGAGGTTATCTACTTTGGTAGCAAAAACAGGCAGGGAGTAGATTATTATTTGGTGATAAATTGG